AAGCTACAGCGACAGATCTCTCTGGTGAGCGGCGTAGCAATCAATGTGGGAACTATCATTGGTTCAGGGATCTTCGTGTCCCCAAAAGGTAACTTGGAAACGAATCTTTTTTACAGATGATGCAAATCTACGTTTGTCATCCTTCACCTTTCCTGTAATGGGTTGCGTTCCTTACAGGATCTCAGAGGGATATGTTGTTACCTTTTTTCTCCCTTGCCTCCTTGCAGGTGTTCTGTTGGGAGTAAGCTCAGTTGGAATGACCTTGGTGGTATGGGTCCTAGCTGGCATCATCTCTCTCCTGGGAGCTCTTTGCTTTGCCGAGCTGGGCACCATGCTGCCTTCCTCGGGCGGCTTTTATTTCTACCTGCGGGCCATCTACGGCGAGTTTGTGGCCTTCTTGTATCTCTGGGTCTCACTGGTCATGCAGGCGCCGGCCTCCTGTGCGGTGGTGGCCATCACCTTTGGTCGCTACGCCGTCCAGCCATTCTTTCCTTCTGCCGACTGTGGACCGCCCATGGCTGCCATTCAGCTCCTGGCTGTGAACTCTATACGTGAGTATAATGGGCTGAATAGCAGGGCAGTCACCGTGAAACCAATTAAGGTCGCGTAATTGGAATAAGTAAGATTTGAAACCTCCTGTGTCTATGTCTCCTAACAGTGCTGTGCGGTTTCGTCAACATCTTCAGTGTTCGCCTAACAACCACTGTGCAGAATGTCTTCACTGTATTCAAGATGTTGGCATTGACCATCATCATTGTTATGGGTTGTGTCCAATTCTTCAAAGGTGGGTTACAAAAACATCAATTCCTGCGTCAAGTAGAAGCTGAAGTTCTAACTCTCTCGCTCCTTTACAATCCAACAAACCTGATTGGTTTTGAAGGGTCAGTTGGTGTAGGGTTGTTTGGAAGTTCAACCATTTGGCTTATTGTCTGTGGATTTTGAATGACCGTTATTCTATTTGTGGACATAGTGATCTTTTTCACCAGGGATGTCCTCTTTGTAAAACACACAATTGTCTTCAATTGACTTCAAGGATGGATAGAACTTGGCCAGGTTTCTGTCTTATGTTGCATATGTAATGAATGATTGACTTTTAATGTTTTCAACAGGGGAAACGGGCAGTTTTGAAAACTCTTTTAAAGGGACAACATATGCTGGTCTTGGTAACGCCCTGTATTCGGGGTTGTTCTCATATGCTGGCTGGTAAGTTAATAAATTTAAACTTCACCGGAATAATTTTCAGACTATCATCAGGCAAATTTAGCAGTAAATTCAAAGTTCGAATTTAAAAGCAGTGGATGTCACGTGTTTATACATGTAAATGACCAGCTTGGAATGGTTGTAAGCCTTTGTGTTACTTTTGATATGTGCATACATAAAATAGTTCAATTTTTGTTTCATTCTTATATTTTTTAATATGGAATCAGAAGATTGACCTCATTTTCTGAATCTTGTCATTCAATTTCATTGTTCAGTATTCAACTGAACCTTATTCATTTGAAACTGAGATTTTTACTACTTTCTGTCATCTGAATGTATTCATATTCTGCATTCCTCAGGTACAACTTGAACTACATTGTTGAGGAACTTAAAAATCCTTACAAGTAAGTTTGACATTCCTCCAAGCCACCTTCTGAGGATGTGAATAGGCCTTGCTGCGCACAGTATTGGTAAAGTGATGCCCATTGAGCTGATTGTCACACTTGTCAGCCGTACTGGAAGTCATGAAGAGAATGAATGTATGGTGTGGTTTTTGCTTCAGACACTTAACCAGCACAATTCTCCCAGAATGCATTGTAACATTTTCATGGCCTATTTGTGTAACCTTTGTCTGGCATCCCTGTAAATAATACTGGCTAAAAGTAGTTACATCATCAGTGGCAGAATGGTTTTAAAAGTTGGGGGGGG